TACTACCAGAAATATCAAAAACAAAGAACGGCCACTCCCCCAACCTTTAAATCCTCACTCCCCCATGCTGTAACTTATCTAACCAATCCGGCTGATACTTTTTCTTCATGTGCTGCATCAAATCCACCAACGACGCCGACAAGGCCGCAGAACTCGGCCACTTCCACGACGAAAGCTCAAGCACCAGTAGCGCATTCGAGTAGAGCTGAATCAGGTTGCCCCCGAATATCGATGGCATGCTTTGGATCAGCACTGCGCCAGCGCGGTAGACCCAGTGCGGCGTCAAGCAAAGGTGGACACTGCCGCAGCTTACTACTGCTTCTCTGTGTTGACATCAGCAAGGAAAGGGGGGATGAGGTGTAGGTGGGAGAAGGGAAGGGAGGACGTACAAAACGTGCCATGCGCTTCCCCAGCAGGGGTTCAGCAAGAGATGCGTTATGTGCAGTGTGATGCGCAGGAGAGGTACCAACTCATCTTTCTCATCAAAAAGCGGGAGTAACTTTTTCACGTTTTCCTTGGCTGCGAGATCGCCTCTTCGAAACCGGTTCTGCATGCGGAAAAGGGAGCAGAGATATTCGGCGGGCTTGTTCTTGTCGAAGCAAAGTTCGGTTTCCTGTGGCTAATGTGAGTAATGTGGGGGGAAGGCAGTCGAGAGTTAGGATGGATGGGCTAGACATACAGGTTCGGGGAATAGAGCGGGGCGATCGAGGGTTGAGGCAAGTTGGTTTTCAAGACAGTAGATTGTCATGTGCATGGCTTGTAGCATTTTCACATCGTTGGGTTCAAGTTCCTGTAGGGCGCGCTTGGATTCGAGGTCGAATGCTAGACGTCCGGCGAGAGCGACCTGCTGCCCGCTATTTCCCGTCAATGGGTCAAATGAGCTGTTGAAGGCGAGGAGCAAAATGCAGCGTATTGTGTCAATGTTAGGTTCCAGAGTTGCTAATTCCAGGTGCTCCATGGCGTCAGCAAAGTATTGAGTGGCCAGCGAACGATATTTGATTGAGTTGGCTTGGTGATAGGGAAGCCTGCTTGAGAGGTGACTGCTTTGGCTATTTGGCTGTCTTTTGCCGTTATTAGGAACAAGGTAGCATGCAATTGAATACATCATGTACAGCGAGAATAGCTCTATCGAATTGAGATTGGTGGGTAGTTCGGGTTGGAGGTAGCGCAGTGAAGGGTCCAGAATAGGATAAAGAGGCTGCACAACCTCAAGGTACAACTGCTTGAGCTCATTTTGCCTTTCGGGAGAGTCCTTGTTCATGCATTGCCAGTCGTCAAGTTCGTCGTCGGCCGGCTCGCTGCGTATGTTGTGTGCTCCGTACAACCTGGGCGACTTGACTAGGCATGCCTCTGCACCTAGATAGCGATAGCTGTTCTTAACCTCTGCAAAATGGTGCTCGTACTGCGTACCATCTTGTGCAAAGGCGTCGGGCTTGACATTCACACCGAATGCGCTGCTAATGCCAGGGCCAATCGAGGCTGTCGGAGAGGGAAGCTCGCTGGATAATCGGCGCACACGATCCACCAGCCCACTGATATAACTGGGGATTCGGTTAGCCGGAGTCGGGAAGATGTGCACGCACGTTTACCTTCGTGGCAGCAATTCGTTGCGTCCGTGGTCGTAGAACATGCACTCGACTCCGGCTTTTGTGCATTGCCTGTGACGGTGAGCGAAAGAGGCGCATTAGGTAGGACGGCGAAACAGTGTACCTGCACTTTGGCAAGAGTGTATCACAGCCGCGGCGACACTCTCGGCACCTCTTGCATGCGGGCAGACTCTGGGGAAGTTGAGTGCAGGATCCTTAAATGCGGAGGCGTCTGGGGTTACCTGAATCAGCGCCTCCAGATCGAGTGCTGGGGGACTGGCGCTGGCCGTGGCTGCCATGAGGGCCAATATGTACGAGGTCTGTAGGAGAGAAGTCCGATGGCTAGCAGCACATGGGGTTCGAGCTGGGATTCATTGCACCCAGCCCTGTCGCCAGAAGGGAAGATCTGGAACGCAAATCGCATGCCTGGGGGAGGGGGGCCTAGCGAGGAGGGTTAGTGTTAGCGAGCAAGAGGTGCATCTGGTAAGCCTGGCCCAAACCGGCAGTGATCGGTGGGGAGCTACATCATCCCGCTTGCCCTCAGCTCAGGTGGCTAGCATCTTGTCCTAGGACCACGAAGACCAACATGATAAACTGTCGACTCCTTTTCCTCTTTTTCCCAGCGCAATGAAACCCACGTCCTCGTGGTACAGACGTCTACCGCTCGTTCTCGACTACCATGCAGAGCCGTACAAAGGTCCGTCGCCGTGTACTGGCGTGTGCCCGCTGCCGTAAACGCAAGCTATCAGTAAACGCGACCCTTCTCCTGACACTTGTGCCTATTCACTAACAGCGGTTAGTGCGACGGCAAAGTACCCGCCTGTTCGCGCTGCGTCGGCGCGGGAGTACAGTGTGTCGGATTCGACTCGTCGACCCAGCAGGAGGCTCCGCGATCCATTGCCGATTTCTTGGAAGCCCACATTGCCAGGCTGGAGAACCCCAGTGCTCAATCAAATGTCACCTCCTTGGCCCATCCCACTGCTGCCATGCCCTCGCCTGCAGACTCTAATTTCTCTGACGCAAAGACCACGCAGTGGCGCTCAGACAAATGTGCTTTTGCTGACACCCTAGTCAACCAAGTTATGGAAGACATCACGCCGTCATTTCTCGGCGTCTGCAAGGCCCGACCCTTCCTGCAATGCGTCGTCAAGGGTACGCGGCTACCGTCCAAGAAGGGCCCTGTCCTGTCCAATGATCTCAACGAGAACCACCCAAGATCCATACTGAACCCGCAACAAACCAAAGGCCTTTTCTATGATCTCATGCCAGATGAGGTTGGTGCAAATAAACTTTTGCGGAATTATCTCGATCGCGTCATTACGCAGTACCCTATTTACCATCGCAACGATGTCACCAAAGCCTTCAAATCCGTCTACCACAAGAGTTCTCCAGCCTCAGACGCAGGCGAGGACTCATTTCGTAACCGCTACATAGTCTGCATAATAATGGCCATATCCCTGACCACTAGTGCACGGAACAATGTACGCAAAGCAAACGACCTCGCCTATCAGCTTGTTCGGCACGCCATGCAGTGGATCCCTGAAGTTGCGACCAACGACATTCCCGGACTGCAAGCCATTCTGCTTTTGTCTCAGTACATTTTCTTGAATCCCAAGATGGCAGACTTGTGGCTTCTGACAGGCCTGATTAGCCAAGCAGTCATTGACCTTGGTCTTCATCAGGAACTACCAAATGACCCCAAGATCACTGCTTATGAGCGTGACATGCGACGCCGGATATTCTGGTGTGCGTGGGAAATGGAGGTTGGCGTATGCTGCATCTTTCTACGGCCCGCAAGTTTGCCTATCAGACAGATCGAAGTCACCTTCCCGTTGGAACTAGACGACACAGCCATCACTCAAACTAGCATATTGCCTACTGGGCGCATATCGAAATTCACCCAACGCATCATTTGCCGGTTTCGCTTGATTGAAGCAGAAATCATCTCGGTTTTGTGGCACGGCGATCCTTTTTCTGATGAATTCACGTCACTGGAGCAGTGGATTCAGCAATGTGTCGAGAACATAACGAATTGGCAAAAAGAAATATACGCAGCCGCCAACGCCAACACAGACCAAAGCCTAAATGCACGGTGGACTGAGATGTGCTTGTACTCGGACATTGCAAGCCCATACATTTTGTCACTGTTGAATCGCACCTCACGCCGAATACCCAACCCGAGCAAGGAGCAAATGATGATTGCATTAGTCAATGCCGTCAAGGTTGCCGACGGCTACTTTCAACAATCCGAAGCAGAAGCCGGCAAGATCAAATACGTGTTCCACCCATGTCATCATGTGTTCAATTGTGCCCTCATATTCCTCCAAGGCCTGCAGCGTTGCAAAAGAGACATAGCATATCACTATTCATGGCAGCAAGTGCAAGATTGGATGCACGTCTTTTCCAAATGCTTCTTATCCATCTCTGAACGATGGTCGGCTGCGAGGAGATGCTATGAAGAATACGAACGATTGCTGTTACCAGTCAAAACCGAGTACCTGGAGTATCTGGAACAGAAGGCCAGTCTTCATCCACCATCATTTCATAAAGCTAGATCGGACACGAGTAGTGTGGGTGAATACCAGATGCCGCCTTCTGGGCTTACTGAAGTCGACGAGGCTTATCAGTTTTGGACGATTTTCAACCCTACTACTTCGACGGTCGATGGCACGGATCCGATTGGACCTTATCCATATGTTAATCTACCACCCCAGGACTGGAATGAGGAGTTTTCCTTGAATGTGAACGACAATGCGGATATGATATTGGAGGTATCATGATGACCCGGCGACTTTCAGTCATTTCTTCGTACGTCATGGATTTTCGGGTTTCTGGATCCATGACCTTGTCATTTCACGACAGAATGCTGCTTGTTCAGTGTCAGGAATACTGAGACGTCTCGATATAGCCACTATGATACCGCCGGAGACTTCGTAAATGGATGTTTGTGAAAATAGGCTTCTTCTATACACGGAGTATTGTTCGCCCAACTGCTGGTGTAAGCCTTGGGGAATAATCACACACGTTGCCCATCTTCCACCCCCTGAGCCTTACCTCGTGGCTCGATTTCCACCACGTCAGATTCTTAGCATACTGCTACTGCCATTAGCGGCACAAATCACCCGGCAATTAAATAGGCCTTGGCTTCCCAATCGCCAAATCCCCGCCTAGCACTGTTTTACGGGATACAGTCTAGTGTATGCTTCGAAGTATTTGCAGGGAAACCTAGATATTAAAGGCTAAAAGGCGGTATTTCCCCAAGGGAGAACATAGTGCAGTATTGCTAGCCGATGTAATACAAGAAATCTTCGTCGCAATATTTCACAAGGTCATGATTGCAGGACGTTATGTGCAACGTGAAGCTTGCATCTCCTTTTCAGAATGACGCAAGATATGTAATATCTACTTCCTACGTCAAAGTTCCAGGTTGATCGTTTCCTCTACCTCTGTTGGTCTACCCATCCTCACGGTCGCCTTTCTATTCTTCAAATCCATTACAATATTGAAAAGCGTTCCACTTCCAGTCTCCTCTGTCTCAGTCCTGCATATTGAACCTGGTGCGTTTTGTTCATCTTCAAACAGCTGACCTACTTGTTCCCAGCTGGGGTTTTTACCCAAAGCCGCAGCATTTTCAGTCATGGTTTGAAAACGAGTCAACGAATCTTTTAGCCACACTGTATCGGTTTCGCCGGGGTGTTCGAGAAGGAGATGGTTCGTATGAACGATTTTCCCAGTGGAGTCTGGCGATAAGCGAGCGAATGTACTTTTGGTAAACTCCAGGCCCACAGCTGTCGTTGCATCGGCTATGAGGATATGGGCCGAAGATGCCATTCCGAAACTTTCTAGAGCCTGGACTGCTTCGCCCGCGGATCTGCTCTCTAAAGTCATTCGTAGGCCGAAGTGAGCGGGCATTCGAGTTGAATTTACACCGTATACTTTTATCGCGTTGAACAAAGTACCCACACCGGAGCTGTTGAAGCCGATCTTTCCAATGATGCCTGCCTCGGTGACCTGGACTATTGTGGGCTTGTTGGGCTGAGTTATCTTGGTGATAATGAGGTTTTGCTTCTGCTCCGTCATCCACTTTCTTATGTCAGCACTTCTATCTTGGTTCGTATTTTTTCTAGAATAGGATACTCACATCCCAGTTTTGCGCCAGCCATGCGTGGTCATTGGTATGCCATGAGAGCGATGTGCATCCATCGCTGAATAGCCCAAAGTTGATTTCCGTCCGAACATTCAACGCCACAATGTCTAATAAATCGCGTCCGGAGCCATCAGCAATGCCCTGCATCTCTTGGTGAAACATTGGCCATTGCTCTTTAGCTCGCTGCTCAAACACTAAAGCGTGCTCAAGCACCTGCGGCCATCTTTGCTTGCAATTCTTCAGAAACAAGCATGCATAAAACTCAATGCTCCGATTGATCTGTAGTTTAGCAGCTTGGCCATGCTGGTAGCCAATCTATGCAGATGTATTAGCAAGGACAGGAGGTTGCAGAGACAAAAATGACGTCACAACTCACTTGGTACGGCGTTCCTTCACACTCGACGAACAACATGGCGTGAAAATCAGCCCAGAACTCCTAGGATAGAAGCAAATCAACGCAGCAGTCTGCACAATCGTACATGGACATGGGGCTGCCAGAGCCATTTACGTCAACTTCAATGCGGGCGCCGCTCTCGGCAATGCTGCCTTTGCCCCGCCTTTTGCGCGCTCAATTCCGTCTTACTTATCGCCTGCGACTATCACGCCTTACCTTCGCTTATCTGGGTATGAATCTACAGTTATTCCCACGTAATGTGCTGCACCAAGACGAATTGGGTTCCTGGGCCGCTGCAAGCTAGTTTTACGTACATGCAGTATAGTAGCAGTATCCACTTTTCATGACGAGTCCGTAGCATATATGTGGCTCTACAGAACACACGCTGTGGAACAGAAGTGGCAGGGTAACGCCAATTGACCGGTATGTCGGTATGTCATGCTTGTTGCTATGCCACCGGCTACAGCGGTTGAAGTGCCTTGGGAAAATGATAAGAAGGACATGTAGCCCAGGAATAGCTTGCTGCTACAAGGTTCCATTGTAAATCCAATATAGACATTCATCTCGTCAATATGCCGAAACGCGTCCTGTGCTCATATGGTATCGATATTGATGCAGTTAGTGACAAGTATGGAATTCTCTAGGACACGGCTGACTACCCGCCCATGCTAGGTAAGCGGATGGTACGTTCACTTCAGATGATACCTTGTCTCTTTGACTAAAATCACTCCAAGGCTGAATACCAAAAACGGAGACCCAGCCAATTCAACCGATGTATCCCGCGGCGTCTTTGGTGCAACCGTAGGCATCGACCGCCTACTCAAGCTTCTAGACAAGTACCAGATCAAAGCCACCTGGTTCACACCCGCGCACACGGCAGAATCTTTCCCAGAGCAGATCCGCAAGATAATCGACAAAGGCCATGAAATAGGCCTTCACGGCTACACTCACGAATTCGTCTCAACACTCAGCGAGCAACAGCAACGAGACGTACTGGCAAAAAGCATCCAAGTCCTAACCGACATGGTAGGCAAAAAGCCTCGCGGCTGGACAGCCCCAGCCTGGAGCACCAGCAAAGAAACCGTAGCCCTCCTCGAGGAATTCGGCATTGTACATTTCCCCCCCAACCCCTCCCAAACAAAACATATCTCCAACTTACTAACGGGAATGATAGGAATACGACCACTCATTCATGCACCACGACTCACAACCCTACTACCTCCCCTCCCCGCACCTAACGACGCACACCACCACCAACACCTCACAACCCGCCTCCCACTGGATGACCCCCATGACCCCCTTAATCCCCTCCTCCATTGTCGAAATCCCCGCAAACTGGCATCTAGACGACTGGCCGCCCTTCCAACTCTCGCTCTCGCAACCCAGCACGCACGGCTACGTCGACACCGCCACCATTGAGCGGTTGTGGAAAGAGCAGTTTGAGTATTTGTATCGCGAGTGTAATGAGGGAGAGTGTTTTGTCTTTCCGATTAGTATTCATCCGCAGGTGAGTGGGAAGCCGCAGGTGCTGCTGTTGCATGAGCGGTTTATTGAGTGGGTTAATGGGCATGAGGGGGTCGAGTGGGTTACTATGGTGCAGATCGTGGATGAGTTTAAAGAGGGGAGGGTGGGGGGTGCGAGGGTGAGGGGTGGGGTTGGGAGTAGCGGTAGGGTTAGGGCGAAGTTGTGAGGGTGCCGAGATGGCGCGCCGTGGGAGGCGTTGAGGACTCCGATAATTGTCGGGGGAGGGACGTGGACGTTCTTTTCTTATTTGCTTTTTTCTTCCCGTCCTTTTTGCGGGGAAGGGCTAGGGGCGGTGCGATGCATGGAGTTATATGTGCCGCTTTCCTGCATAAGTACCGGGTATGCATGGTTGCTCCGCTTTGATGCAGCATGTGCGTGGGTCGCGGAGAAGAGCGCAGTGTGGGTTGCGGTGAAGTGCGATGGTAGCGCTTATTCAGCTCAAGAGTGGGGTTGGTAAGATTGGTATATACTGAGTGGTATTCCAATGATAAATTTGGTTATTCCTTGGTCCGTGGATCTATGCTGTTGTCGTTCCGAGTTGATGCTGGACGAGGTGTAGATTCACAGCTCTTTTTTTATATTGTTCTATTACCAGGTTGTTTCACTTGTCCTACCTATTGCTGTCTTTTCTCGGAGAAGAAGTAAAGTCTGAAGACGAAGCAGCAATATGACTCCTGATGTGCGGCTCCGACTGACCTTCTAACTTTGTGAAGCATCACTGTAATAGCAAAGGTGTTCTACAACCCCCATTTTCCCTTGTTTCGCCGAATTGGAATGTCTTTGGGATTACTTTAAAGCCGACTATAATCAGTTGAGCCGGAAGCGAGGAGAGGATACGTTATTGAAACGATGTCGACATGGAACTCTTAATATGCTGACATTCTTCAATCGTTAAACGACCCCGCATCTGCTTAGCAACAATACTCTGTCTCGAAGCCATGTCATCTTCCAACTAACAATTAACACATTACAGTCCAAACATTCTTACATACACTTCAAAGCCCCTCTACCAACCCAACCATCCACTCTTTTCATCCATAACAATCTCCACCCAACCTCACAGACAATAAGGACCAATAGAACTCCTCGGGTCATTATAGCAAGTCAGATTACAGCACTTACCCGGGTCCCCCAAATCGCAGGGTTGGCCCGGCGCATCACATACGGGTGGTCGACTCTCAACGCACGCAGTTGCGGTCGTAGTGACACTAACCGTCTAATTCACCGTCAGCACCTACTCTCTCATATGTCCTTTTCTTCTTCAAGGAAAGATCAAAGAAAACTTACCGGTACAGGTGCAAAAGTCGTAACAGTAGTAACGATAGGAGTAGGAGGAGTCTTTGGCTTCAAGCAGAGACAGCGACACGCATCTGCGATTTTTGCAGCAGGGAAACGCGCGAGTTGGGCGGGGATATTTGCGCGCTTGTCGAGCTTGACACGGCTTCCTTGGTCGAAGTATTCGATTTCAAAGTGCTGGGATGCGGCGCGTTTTTGCTGGCCGCATTGGGTCCTTGTTACTGTGACTACTTCGGTACTAGTGGTTATCCTGGGAGATTGTCAGTGACCGTTGTGAATCAAGTGTGTATATGCGTTGGTTCCCAAGTAGACTTACACGGGGGTAGGTGTGATAGTCGATGTTACGGTGGTTGTTTTGGGTGGGTTGATATATTCGCGGCAAAAATTTGTGCCTGGTACGCCGAGTTTCTTCAGAGCGTTGAGGATTTCATTGTTTTTTGTGCAAATAGCGGATTGCTGGGCTGCTACTGTTGGTTCGGGGACAGCGACTCCGAGTACGCTGGTTGCGGCTATGAGGATGAGTTTGAGGGCGAGCATGATGGAGGTCTTCTAGGTGGGCTTGGAGAGGACTGCTTGTTCGCTATGCCTATGGCCGAGCTCATTATATATATATCATATTGTCAAGTGGTGCAAATTACATGCTATTCAGGGAGCTTAGCTAAGGGGTATATGGTGTCGAGCTTGCCCATATTGTTGTGGCGCTTCTTGTCGTGACATGCTGGTTTTCTAGTGAGATCTTCAAGATTCGTTAGCGTGCAGCCTCGCGAACCCGTTGGGTAAGTGGGCGAGTCGTAGTGCAATACAAGTACATACTTTGAGGTCAATATCAGATTAGTATATGCTATTTCTCGGTTAGTACCATAGGAAATATAAAACACGATGGCGCTTTAGCCCCTGAAAGGGAAATTCTATTCGTCTGTTTGTGCTCAATCCGGCCAGTAGACATTCGGGCTAGCCGATGTGGCGCAATAATCGACGAGTCTCGCCAGTTATCAGGGGGTTGCCAGCTACCGATCAGATGTAGACTTGCTCATTATGGAAGGGCGAACAACTGAAATAGTGCTTGTAGCTTCAAAAGAAACAGAATGATAGCGCAGAGTTTTTATTGTCTTGCAGTTCTGCACTTGCGAAAGAAAACCGATAGCGATGATTCCAACTTGGGTCATAGGAAAGTTTCCGTCTACGCTTATTCTGGAGTTTAAATCTACAGTACCTGTGAGATGACACTCTTGGCGTTCAATAGTCGTCATGAGCCCAAAGGTTAGTGGAAAAGGTGGCGCACGCGGACCAGATCACTTCCATCGATTCCTTTATTACCGACACGCTGCACTCCATTGAGCACGGACAGCCGCAGCATAGTAACAGATATTGATGGGGATATGGTTGAAAATCCACTGTGGGGTTAAATTTGCTGAAAAGTAGAGGAGGTAGGGACCGCTACGAATTTCGCGCCAACAATAGACAGATTATATCGTATGTGAGAATTTAGCCAATCTATTGCCTTTTCAATTAAACAGCATCAGCACGTGAAAGGACTTTGCTAACTTCTTACCTCACCGCTAAGAGACATGGGAAGTATTCCGGGACTTGCAACACTTATCTTGCATGAAAGTCATGTATTTCCTAAATAGTCATCCGATGCACGGACCGCACCCCGAGAACCAATCATCCAATATTCCAAGGTAGTAGTAATCAGTCCCGCTCTGCATACATACTACATACACTACAAACATACATACATCAACTAACCCCATAACTCAACCAACATACACAAGAATGGATGACACGCCACCATCCGTCAAGAAGACAAAACTACAATGGCGCACCCTCACCCCAGCCCTTCTCCCCCACCTCTCCCACATAGCGGCAACAATCCACCCCGGCCTCGCTGAACGCGACGCCGTCTTCCTCGAACGCATAACTCTGTTTCCAACAGGTTGTCTCGGATTATTCGACGAAGAGTCCAACACACTATATGGCTATTTAATTTCACATCCGATCCGGCACCAGGAACCGCCTGAGCTGGATTCGCTGCTTGGAGAAATAGCAGAAGATGCGGATCAGTATTATATTCATGATTTGGCTATTTTGGCTGAAGCTAGGGGGTCTGGTCTCGCGCAAAGGGGGGTTGAAAAGGTACTGGGTACGGCGGCTCAGGCGTACAAGACAAGTTGTTTGGCATCTGTATATGGGACGACGGCATTTTGGGGGAAGTTTGGGTTTGAGAAGCCAGAGGTGGTTAGTGCAAGGTTGGGTGAGAAGTTGCTTGGTTATGGGGATGAGGCTGTGTATCTTGAACGAAAGAATGGGTGAGAGTGTAGTAGCGGCATTACAAGTACGGATTATGCATACCACATACCCGATGCGGCGATTACGTCATTGTGGCTTGAAGCAAAAACAATCACGGAAAGACCAAGATGGAAGGCAAGGTTTATGTGGCTGTTTTGGCTTGACTGGGAAAGTCAGAGCCGCCGCGCGCTGTACTAAAGTAATATACTAAGAGCAGGGGTATTCAGATGTATAGAGTGTGCTCAGTCCATGTACTTGAGAAACAGATGGTGTTAGATTGGATATTTATTTATATTGACGGTCATCTAGATTATCGGAACTTGGAGAGGCTGCTTACAAGCTGGCTAAATTTAGTCAAGCTTAGAATTTGCAGAGGGCTTGCAAAGTGTCCTTGGTGGTGTGCGAGGATTCCTTGACAATGTTGATGAGTGCCTTGAATCTGCGGTGTGTTAGGTATTGTCAAAATCATGCGGAATTATTTGGCCACTCACTCGGGTGTGCCGGCTTCTCCAAACAATTCGTACAAGAAGCTCTCGCTGGTGGTGACAATGGCGCCTTCGTGTCTTAATCTTGCCAGGGCAATTGGAATCTCTTCTTTGTTGCAGCTGCTTACGCCGTCTGCGATGACATATACCTTGTGCTTTCGCCTGAGAAGATCCAGAGTGGTCTGGGTGATGCAGATATGGCTCTCAATGCCAACAACGATGGCGGACAGCGGGCCGGGGGCGTTGAGAGAGTCGAGGGCCCTTTCAACTTCCGGGGTACTAGAGAAATCAGCCTGAATTGCTACGTAGATGGCATTGAGACATGCATCATGGAGAAGAGAGTTTTGTCAAGATGACAAACAGTCTTGACGCCATCGGGGGCATCGAGCTTCAGCTCTGGACACGTCTCGCCCAACCGTGCACGATTTTGGGTAGTTGCAATGACGGGGATGTTAAGCACCTGGCCTGGGGGAGGGGGGTGTTGGTCAGCAGCAAGCGAGCAGGGTCATGGAAACATGCAAGACATACTTGCTCGAAGCAGCTTCTGTGCCGTTGCAATCACCTTGGGGAACTCATAGATGGCGGGGCGGAACTTTTCCTGCAGATCGCAAATACTGGTATACTATGAGCGGACACGATGGTGGTGGTGGTGAATGTTGGAGTCGGCGGAGTCATACAAGAGGGCGGGGTTCGCTAGGGACCATCAGCCATGTCGGTACAGATGCAACGTGGTTGCTCAGCCGTCAGTCTATGTATATACCTATGCGGTGCGGGGCCATGGCTGAAGAGGAGAATGTACGAAATATTTTGAGCGGGTTGAGGGTGGGGCGTGTGTACAGCATGCGTGGGAGGAGCAGAAACGGGGCATGGTGCGGCGCAGTCATGGTGGCGTGCAGACGGAGCGGTGCAGCAGCCGCCATGGCTCGGCTAGAGTACTTGCGGCGACATGGACATGGACATGGACATCGGCTGCGGCTTCCCCTGGGGTTCAGCGCGCCTGCCGTTTCTGCCACTGCCACGGCCACCGCCGCCGCCGCAATGGCAGGAGCAGCGACAATGGCCGTGGCCGTGCCCCGTGCACCCCACGCAGCACGCACCTGCCGCCTGCCGTGGCCCTCTCTCCCTCCCCCTCCCCCTCCCAGAAATATTTCCGGCCATGTGAAACGGGCCCGGATTGCGCGCATATTGAGCCCCAATTTACTGCGTCAAAACATTTTCCCTGAGTCGGCGCAAGCCCTGGTATAACCACACGAGATTGTCCGAGACGGCCTCAGGAGAGGGCCGCACTTGGCTGCCGGCAGCACGGTGCTGTCCCTGCATCCGTTCGCGCGGTACACTCGGTCAAGGTGAGATGAGATGAGCGTCAGACGAGGCCAAAAATACTCTTTTTTCGCTGTGCGAAGGCCGGTCTGCAGCAGCTCTTTGCGGTCTACATACGTATGTACGTACAAGGCACAGTGCCAGCCCGTCTGACCTGGCATCCAACACGCCCCCCCCTACAATCTCACCAGAGGCCGCCATCCCTTGCCATGTACGCAATAAGGGGCTCCAGCGCCGCCCTGCCTGCCGCCGCCCAGCGTGCTACTGCTACTGCCTCTGCTACCACTCGTACTACTGCTTGGTGCTGATGCCGCCCAGCCAGCGACGGTCAACCCGACTCCACGCTGTTGGAAGGATAGACGAGAACTAGCCTTGGGACATGGCCAGATGCCGCCTAGTCAGCAGCGTTGGGGCTGACGCAGTTGGGTGCTGAGCATGTGTAACGCGCTGAGGGTGCCAGTTGACCTAGTCGATTGCATTACACCTAGACTGAACCACCGTGGCGCTGTGGGCGTGTGCTTTCCCCTCTGCCTTCCTTGTCTTTGCTCGGTGCTCCGAGCGCGGAGCAGGCTTCCCGACGTCGTAGCCATGGCCGTCGTGGTTGGTAGTTGTGGTATTAATCGTCGTGATGTTGGTGCCGGAAGCCATGGCGCGGTCGAGTCTTGTCCAGACAATCCAGGTACATAGTATGTACTACTAGTTGTTAGATACGCAGATACTTTGCTGCACCCACAGCCCCTGCCCGGCAACGACGCAGCCCTCATGGGCTCATTAGATTGGAGTGCAAAGTGCATATAGTCGGTCGAGAAGGCGCCCCTGTCGCCAGTCACGGTTCTGGTGTAGGTGACGGCACGCGCCCTCCCCAAAGCGCTCTAGACGTAGCTCTGTGCGTTTATCCCCCCGTTAGGCCTACGCCCCATGCATTATACGTACTTTGTACTTACATACTGCAAGCAACAGAACCTCGCAGACAGACTGTTGCCCTTTTCTTCTGCACTGCTTCGCTCGCTGTCTGCAGTGCCCATCCTCCCTCCCCACTCACCCACCCACCACCACCACACCACCTGCGTCTGGCCCGTTGATTAGCGCCTGGCCCGTCCAACCACTCAGCGCCCCCCATTCCCACCACATCGTTCCCACAAGGCCAGCCCAGCAGGGGTTCTCTCCAGCACCAGCACCAGCACCAGCAACTCGCTCGCCCGCCCAATTCAAGACAACACTCGCTGCAAAAGCGCCCGCCTCATTCACGCGCTGCCTCGACCTGCTCTGGAAGCACTTCTCACCCTCCTTCTCCCCGTCTCTCTTGTCCTCTGCCCTGGCACAGTGAGCAGCGGCAGAAGCCCCTCCCGGACTACCGCTCGATTTCCCCTACCCATCGGCCACTAAAGTTTATGACCAACCGCCGCCACAACAACCCCCAATATCTTTACATCCACCATCCCCAGCCCATCCACACCGACTCCCGCCCAACAAAGGACCACGCCGCCGCCCTTTACTCGCCCGCCCTCTGCTTGCCGCAGCAACCTCTGCGCTCGCACCTCCAGTACGCTCAGCTGCCCCCGTATCTGCTGCTGCACCCCTTCCTGCAGCTTGCGCGCATCGACGAAGTGCATCAATCCCTCTCGCACACTCCCTTTCCAGCCGTAATTGTGTCTCCCCACTCGCTGAGCCCGCCGCCCCAGCGGGACTCAGGCCGCACCCACTCCAAGAAGCCTCCCGTCAAGACGGCACAGGCACCCAAAGATACCACAGATGGGCATAAGGATACAAAGCGCAGCGTGCCCAACTGCACGCCCACGGTGACATCAAACGGTGCTCCAAACATGGCAAGCAAGCGGGAACAGGCAGCGCAGCCGCCTCTCACCGACACACAGACACAGGCACAGGCGCGACCGCAGCGACCGTCTATAGTCTCGCACCACTCGAGCTCAGTCCCATCTACTCCCTTGCAGGTCGCCCGCAAATACAACACGCCCTCACGCTCGCCCTCGCCCAACGGCGGCCTGGGCGGCCATTCGCCACGCTCCGTATCCTCCGAAGCAAACGGCGCCATGCCTACCCTTAGGCCCGCCCGTCCCTTCAAATGCCGGTTCGAAACCAATGTTGGCATGCTGGGCAGGAGACGAATGCCTTACCAATCAGACGAGATATTGGACAAGGCCAAAGAGGAGCCCAAGAAGAGCTTGGACCCCCACGAAGACGACAAGTTGAGCGGTGACATGCGCGAGCTGTATGACCGGTTGCTGCCCAAGCAACAGGATAACGATACGCGAGAGCGCTTCGTGAAAAAGGTGCAGCGCATACTGGAAACTGAGTTTCCGGGTACGCAAATGATGGTCCATGTGTTTGGGTCCTCGGGCAACATGCTATGGACATCGGAGAGCGATGGTAAGCGTCACGCTTTACACCAAGTTCCGCGCTAACCCTGGTAGTTGACATTTGCATCCAAACGCCCATGAAAAGGCTAGAAGAGATGCACCCGCTGGCTGAGGCTCTCGACAAGCGTACGTGAGCAATGTCACTCTGCTTGGCTGCGACTAACATTTACAGATGGCATGGAACGTGTCGTGTGTATTCCCGCAGCCAAGGTCCGGATAGTAAAAGTCTGGGATCCCGAGCTGCAGCTCGCCTGCGATATCAACGTGAATAACGTCGCCGCAATCGAGAATACACGCATGATCAAGACATACATCCAGCTAGATGACCGTGTACGGCCATTGGCAATGATCATAAAATACTGGACAAAACGCCGTATCCTTAACGATGCTGGTAAGTGCACTGCAACACTTCTTGCTTCTCATTTAACCCTTGGCAGGCATTGGTGGCACAATCAGTTCGTATACGTGGATATGTATGATTCTCAACTTTCTTCAAACACGGGATCCACCGGTTCTGCCCAATCTACATGAGCTCCCCCAGCGAGCACGAGACGGAACGACCGGTCAGCCGTCATTATCGAGTTTCGCCGATGATGTTGGAAAGCTGAGAGGTTTTGGGGAAAAGAACAGGGAAAGTCTGGGCCAGTTGCTCTTTCACTTCTTCCGTCTATATGGCCATGAGGTAGACTACGAAAAGGAGACAATCTCGGTGCGCCAGGGTAAACGCATACCAAGAGAAGAAAAAGGCTGGCACCCGGGCGGTGGTCAGAAGGAAGGCGTCAACCGCCTTTGTGTAGAGGAGCCCTTTAACGTTGATCGAAATCTCGGAAACTCGGCAGATGACTACGCGTGGCGTGGGATACATCTGGAGATACGTCGGGCTTTCGATTTGCTCGCAGATGGTCAGCAGCTTGACAAAGTGTGTGAGCAGTTTGAGTATCCCCCCGAAGAAAAGTCCAACGCCATCTTCAAGAAACCGCAGTCCCAAAAGGCGATCATCACTTCGAGTGTGCCAAATCGCAGTGGCCGCGGTGGTTCCAACTCGCGCGGGGGGAGAGGCGGTTTTAACCTCAAGGGTCAGCATGGAGGCAGCAGACGTTCTTCTAACAGCTCGAATTACAGTCAGGGTCGCCCACCCTTTCTGCACAGTCCACCCATTCCTGCAAGTGCTGGTCCAGAATATTTCAGCTTCCCTCGAGGTATTCACGACCAGCTCCATGATCAGCTGTACCAGCAATACCAGATGTTGGAAATGCAGTCAAATTCTTTGCGTGCGCAGTTGGCCGCGCAGCAGCATGCTCAGCAAGCACACCAAGTAAGAGCTGCTCAGATGCATGCCCATGCCGTTGCCCAGGCACAAGCACAAGGACGAGCACCAAACAGCGTGAGCGGGTCACCTCAAAAGTCGCCGTATGTTAATGGACGTCAAAGCCCTAGGCTGGCTGAGCGTGGAATGCCGCCAAACGCTCTCCCTCAGGGATTCCTATATCACTACCCTGGCTTCTACAATCCCTCTCAGGTGGATCTTAACGGATCACAGGATGGCTCACGGACAAACCCATCTTCGCCATCTCTGAGCAGTAGCATGCCTGGTGTACATCGAGGTGTTCACCGCGCATCAAATGCTAGTGAGACAACCTCACTTCGTTCGCACTCGCAGCCGCCACGTAACGCTGCTCAGCAGCCTGTCATTGTTGGGTATCCGCCTATGCCTCAGTTCGTTGACCCAAGCATGTTTGCCGGCTACCCCATTGCACGGTCTTCGCAAGATCTCTCAACTACACAAGCCACGTCAGATGTTCCGGTAAATCCAATGGCTGCTCAACAGGACTCGGCCCCATCTTCAGATAATGGCTCACCGAAGGACTACGTGGGCTATTCTGTAGCAGAACAGCCGCAGCCGCAGCCGCAGCCAACGCCGGTACGTTCATTACAAGAGTACACTGTGTCGGCAATTCCATCTTTCAGCGAACTGGCCCAGCGCCGCAGACGGGTGTCGCCAGAGATTACCCAGCCTCTTTTGAACACTGCATTGCGGCGGGTAACAAGATCACCTTCTCCACTGGGAGGTCATATGCGAAGTTGTTCGAGCGGTATTGCCCAGCCAAACGATGCCGTGCCCGAGCAGCGCAAGTCGCGCGTTGACTCCGTACGGCCTGCGCCTATTGATAACGGTCCAGTCATTGTCAATGGCTCGTTTCCTACACAGCCCCGTCCCAAGGCTGACACATTCGATACCGCTCCACTTGAGGCGCCACCTTCAGCTCCACTTGCCATGTATCCCGACGACCAAGCCATTCAACAAATCCAACAGCTCCAGGCACGTCAGCAATTAGTACTCCAGGAAATGCAGAGGCAAAAGGTAGTAGAGAACATGGGGCCTTCAATTGTCAATGGGTCCATGAATGGGCACCCATCAGTGGAGTTGAATGGCATGCCGCGTGCACCCGATGAAAGTCAGCAGCCATTTCCTACAGTTGGCGATGCCTGGGTAAACTACGAGATACCCAATAACCACCACGGTGATCGCGTTGAAGACGTATCGCC